TGGGAAACTGGATTGGCCAGGGATCAGAGCCCTATTTGGGGGTTCAGGACAGGATTCACGGAGACACGTGAGGGACAATGGGAACTCCATCTCTCCCCACTGTAGCTTTTTCCAGGTAGGAAGTGACAGCCTGGTGAGGAACCCTCCTCCTTCACTGCAAGCTGTAACTAGGGATCAGGTGTCTGTCTGTCTGTCAGAGATGCTTCTGGCTTCCTGTTTCACCAGGGGGAATTGGACTGGGTGATCTTTCGGTTCCCCTCTGACTTCACCGTGCTATGATTCCATGTGCAGCCTCTCCACGGAGCTGCATTTTCTCTTTCTCCTGGTTTTCCAACTGCATGGAGAGCTTCCATGCTTTTCAAACCATGGCTCTTCGCATTTAGAGATCAAGACGTGGGTCACTCTGCTCCATTTCCTCACCTGTTCAATTTAACCCTGCAGTAAATGCCTGAGCAGGACCCAGGAAGTGAAGCAAAAACTTTCAGCCACAATGTGCAGCACAAAGAGCTAATTCCCTAACAAACCCTCTCCTTGAAATAAAGAAATAAAGAACATTTGGAAGTCCTGCCATTGCCATGCAAAGCTTTGATCAAGGCAAATGTCAAACGTGACAGTCCTTCTGCGCTATGCTGATACACAACCTTTTTCTTAAATCCACTTAGCATTTCTCCATGGTTAAAGCACTGGAAATATTAGCCCACATGGATTCCAGGGATGCAAGGATGTCCTGTGAGCAATAGGAAGTGGGTTTGAAAGGCGAGAGGAATGCAGGAGCCCCAGCTGGCTTGGAGTCCAAACTTTAAACACACTATCCAGGGTGTTGAACTTCTATTTTGTTGACAGAGCTGAGCACCTCCGTACCTCCTGAGAAATCTGTGCTAAAATGTAGTGCAGGTCCACTGCTCCCATGGTGTGGGAGTCATCAGCCTCCAGTGCTCAACGGTATGGATGACCAGCTCAAACATGATTGATGCTCAGGAGATGTGGACCTGATCCGTTCCTCAGAAGAGGCAGCAAAGAGCAGAGGGGCAGCTGGAAAAGGCCACTTCTCCCCTTATTTTTGATGCATGGAAACCGCTGCATTATCCAAAAAAAACAACTGTCACCAGTGGCTCCCTCCCATACCAGTACTTCACTGGTTTTCTGGAGGGGCAAACATAAACACAGAAAGGGCTATAACTTGTGGGCCTCTTCCAGTGCTTGGCATTTCCCATGTAATTTGGTTCAATGACTTAATCCCATTAAGTCTCTCTTTCAACAAGGAACAAGACAGGCAGCGGAGCTGAAGCCTGCGTCTTGGAGGGGACTCCCTGGTCCACCTCTTCAGGGAGAGCTTTCCCACCCTGCACTGCCTGGATCTTTTCCAGGAGATCCTGCTAGGGAAGATTTGAACCTCCCGCACACCCATGGGCTCCACCCACGAGGCACAGCCTTTCCCCAGTCCTCCTGAGCCATGCACTGGGCGCAGCGGCAAAGAAGACAGCCACCCACCCACCCACCACCCTTTCTGGGCTCTCCTCTCGGAGGTGGGTGCCTTCAGAAGCAAAGAGACTCGCTCACCGTCCAGCACTGGCTGGAACTGTACTCACAATTTAAAAGTCTCGTTCCACTCCGGGTTCAAAGAGCATTTGATGGTTTTAGTCTTCTGTTTGCTCTCGCTTTTTGGGTCAGGGATGAGTTTGAGCTTCACGTAGGGGTCTGACAAGCCGTTGGGGTCCATAGGAACCAGGTTTTTTGCATCTCGTACTGGAACGGGAGAAAAAAAAAAGCAAGCAGTGAAAAGTACCGGTGCTGCAACTATGCCCTGTTATTTGTGCGCCAAGCACCCAGGGGTCCCATTCCACCAGAAAGGCATCTTCTACGAGTGGCAGCGTGTTTCCCAAGACGCTTGTGTTAGCCTTACAGCTGGGGTTCTATAGAGGGAGACGCCAGCAGGAAAGAACTGCATCGACCCATGTGAAGACAGGCAAATGGTTCTCCATTTGGGAGACAGGATTTTGGCTGCCTGGGACAGTCGCCACTCTTGACACCTGATCCTTCCGCCGGTTCTCCTCTTCTGACTGCTTGGGCAGCCCCAGTCTCTCCTCATGGGGCCATCCCTTGACTGGGTTTCTGTTGCTAATTTGGAGCGGGGGTTCTGGCACTTTCGTGACACTCTGACCAGCTTGAAGGGCCTCTAGTTAAATGCAAAATAGACAAGTAGCGAAAAAGACATGATCAACAACCAAGAGTCAGGGCCAAACTGGACAGGTGGCCTTGCTCATGCTACAGCAGCTGGTCTGCAGATTTTTTTGCAAAGTAAATGGAAGACTCTTGTGTATGTGTGTGTGTGTGTGTTGTGCATGTACGTCTCTCTCTCTCTCTCTCTCTCTCTCTGTGTGTGTGTGTGTGTGTGTGTGTGTGTGTGTGTGTGTGAGAGAGAGAGAGAGAGAGAGAGAGAGAGAGATGGGGAAATGTACCAAGGCCTTCCTCTATTTCTCCATTTCTGCCAGACTTTCTATGCACGCTATCTACATTCCAAAGGAAGCTTCTCCTGGCAGCAGCCGCAGCCTTCAAATGAAACAACTCACACAAGTCACCTTGTTTCTCCTTTGGCCCTTGGAATGAGCTCCTGGCCGTCTTGCCTTCCCCCTGGGTTTCCCTGGCACTCCGCTGCCTCCAGACTTGTGAACGCAGGGTGTGCAGTGGAGGAATCACACATCCCCAGACAAAGCGGGAAGAGGCACCCGTCATGAGGAAAGGTGAGAAGCCTGAATGATATCAGGCAAGGCTGGCCCACACTGTGGCCCGTCACCTCGTTTCCAAAAGCTTCAAACAAGAAGCAAGGACGCGACAGCCTCGCTGGATGAGTGCCTTTGCTGCCCATAAAACCCAATGGTGGGCAAGAGAACGAGAGAACCCCAGAGCAGCGGATGCTCAGCTGGGTTACCTCTCAAGGACCCTTCAGGCCAGGTTTACTAAAAATATTTGCTGGCCACTTTGCCCTCAAAGCAGTGGGGAGGAAAAAGGCCCTCAGGGGTCTCCAGGGAACTTGAATTATTGTTCACAGAGAAACAATTTTTGGGGGGCTCTTGTTAGGGCACGGGGCCCTGGGCCCTCTGGCCCCCCTTTTTCTGATGCCTTGGCAGAGCCTCTGGGCAGCTACAAGCTGCCACTCAGCAGTCCCCCACCCGCCCCCTGCCTATCCGAACAAACGGTTCAAATTATTCCAGTTCCCGAATGGTCTCGGTCCCCATCTGGAAGCAAAGATGCTCATCTTTCAGCAAAGGCGCTGGCGGTGTGATCGGGAGAGCGATAATTTTAATGGCATTCCGAGAGGGACGTGTGTGAAGGGCAAAAGAGGCGGGACCAAAGACGTAACGGGAGAGATTGCGGTGGACTTCAAAGCAACAGAAGGGAAGTGTCTCTAACGGGGCAGCCTCCCGAATCACAGCCTTCTGCGGTGAGCAGAGGCTTGGCTCAGGGAACAGGGCTTAGCTTTCGGAACCCAAAGAGAAAACGTTCCCGGAGCCGACACGAACCCACACAAGCGTCCAGTCTTTGCTATTTGGGTGAGCGATTCTGTCCCGGCCTCCTTCTCCACAGGGGATGGATGAGGAAGGGCCGGCTCCCTCCTTCTCTGTTGGTCACGCTTGGTCTGCCCCTGCTTTGGTGCCCATAGCTGGGTGACCAGGCACTCTTTGGAGGAACCCACTGTCCTCTGTACCCAAGAAGACCCCCCCAAAGAAAAGCCAGTCTCCCCATAGAACCTGCCTCCGTTGCCTTCCGGCTACCTTGGGGCACTTGTTGTTCTCAAAGTCCTTCCTTAGCAGGAAATTGAGCATCACAGCCTGTGGGGGAACAGCAGCAGGAGGGAGAGGAAGCGGGGTGGGGGGCTGGGGGGGCAGAAAGAGGGATTAACGGAGCCCAGGATACAACATCACTCTCTTTCCTCCAGCAACCTCGACCAAGGACAGGTTCCCCCATCTGGGGACCTGACAGGGACTCCGTTTAAAGACAAATAATGCCAAAGGAAGTTGACCAAAACCATTCTTGAAAACCCGGGGCTCATCTGCTGCTCAACGTTTGCACCAATATTTATAATGAAAAATGCACAGCCCCTTTTTTTTACAGCCACCTCTTCCTGAGCCAGTGAACATTAATTAATGCATTTCTTGCTTGTTTACCTAATTGCTGCATAATTTGTTCCCATTTGGACCCACGCCTCACTTCATCAACTCGTTCAATTAACAACAACTATCTGGCTTCTGCAGGAGAAGCCGGGCTCGGCCGGGACAGGCAGGGATGGATTAACCTTGGCGCCAGAGAGGAAACGTGTCCTTCAAGGTGGTGATCAGCATTGAAACTGCCAGCAAGCACATTTCAGAGAGACCTACGCACATGCACACACACACACAAATATACAACACACACACACATTCCCCAAAGGATTCCTTTAAGCTCATTAGGAATCAGCCCAAGTTCTTGGACTTGGTGAACGTGGAGGAACGAGGTCTCCATTTGTGCCAGGTGGAGGCCAGTGTGTGTGTGGGGGGGAGGGGGAATCAAACTCAGGCCAATCCCAAGAAAAGCACTTGCTTGTCTCTCCCAGGCTGTGCCTGAGTCCAGAGCCAGGGTGGAGCGCCTCCAGCCTTGGCATGCCATGGGAAGACCATCAATGAAGAAACATGGCCAGCACCTGGTCCTGAGCATTATGGCAGAGGCACCTCTTCTCTCTTGTTGTCCCACCACATGGAAACCATCTCTGGCCAAATACAGAGAGAGAGGGGAGGGAAGAGGAGCCCCCAAAGGTATCCTGAGCCTATCCCTGGAACGAAGACAACCAGCACCCTGAATTCTGTCCAGAGACTGGCCCAATCCTTGGTCATATGGCTCCTGCTATGTGGGTAAATCTGTACATCCTCTCGGCCTATGCACACATCAGATATCCAATCCTAGAGCCACTTGTTTGTTTCACAATGTATAGGGGAGGGAAGAGGAGCCCCCAAAGGTATCCTGAGCCTATCCCTGGAACGAAGACAACCAGCACCCTGAATTCTGTCCAGAGACTGGCCCAATCCTTGGTCATATGGCTCCTGCTATGTGGGTAAATCTGTACATCCTCTCGGCCTATGCACACATCAGATATCCAATCCTAGAGCCACTTGTTTGTTTCACAATGTATTTATCCTACAAAATCTAACCCTTAAGTCCATGCAAGCCCAGATGGCTGTGGTTAAGAACAAGCCAGCCCTTGGGTTAGATATTTATACACGGCCAAAGAGCCCAAAAAACCCAGAACAACCAACAAGCCAGCCCTTGGGAGCAGGAGGCCGCTGTCCATGGTCCTGAAGGACAGCAGCCAGGTTTCCAGAGGAGCATCAGTGGCAGTGCAGCATCCCACGGCTTGGCATCTTCCAGATGCGTTGGAATGTGACTCCCATCATCCATCACACTCCTAGGAGATGATGGAAGCTGTAAGCCCAACACATCTGGAGGGCACTAGGCGGGGGGAGCTATTTCAATGACACAACAGATTACCAGTGATGGCCCTTCCCTTTCCAAGATGCCGCAGGAGTTTCCAGTGAATATTCTCCGGTGGAAATCAGCTTCACTTCCCACCCACAAGGCATCATCAGGAGGTGCACCCAAACATTGATAGACACCAATTCAGAGGCCTCAGGGGTGAGGGCCCCCCTTGATGAGGGATCATGTCAGAAAGTGAGATGAGAAGGGTGCTGGGCTCCTCCACGAAAAGCAAAGCAAAGCAAAGCAAAGCATGCTGCTTATATACCACCCCATGGCACTTCAAACACTCTCTGGGTGGTTAACACGTTAATTATGCAGGCTACACATTGCCCTCCAGCAAGCTGGGTACTCATTTTACCGACTTAAGGAGGATTGAAGGCCGAGTCAACCTTGAGCCGGCTACCTGGGACTGAACCCCAAGTCGTAAGCACAATTTTGGCTGCAGTACAGCAGTTTAACCACTGCGCTACGAGGCTCTATATACGACAGGACACTCTGTTCAGACACAACACAGTCCAGCAGCAGCTTGTGACAGTTGCATATTGTAACCCTGTGCACACCCAGAAGCCTCTCTGGGTTGGCACCCTGGGTTGACTTCTAGATTGGAAGAGGGTTTTGCAAGCACGGCGTTTGTCGGGGTGCTTCTGTTTGGAAACAAGATACACAATTTAGGGAAACCTGGCAGACTCGTCCTTGGCTTTTAACAAGCCACAAAAGGGAAGACAGAGCCTTTAATTCCATGAATGTTCAGAGAGAAGAACCTCCAAGGTTTGTTGCGGTGGGAGGCTGCTTCGGAGTGCTGTTGGGTCGCAGGCAAAAAGCTTGCACAAAGGCAGAGGAGCCTCTGGAAGTCAAACACTGCCATCTACGGGATGATGAAGCCACTACCACGAAGGGAGGAACTTTCTTAAATCCAAACAGGGGACATTCAAGGTCAATCCCAGTTAAGCAGTTTAAAAATCAAAGGATCTCCACAAAACCAGAAGCCACGGCTCTGTCACAAGGCTGCTCCTGCACACCTCTAACCCTAACAGAAAGAAGGGTCTTTGCCAGGACAGAAGGTGGGGGGGGGGCTTGGGATTGGCCCCGGCTGTTGCAGGGCTTCGTCCCCCTGTGGCCGTGACGCCTCTCAGATGAAAATGTCTACAGCTGTTTTGCTTCACGTCGGCCCCTCCGAATCATCTGTCTGGGACTCAATGGATTCAGCTGGATGTTCTGCATTAACCTCCTCCAACCCAACACTCTCCAGTTGTCTTGGACTATAATTCCCACCATCCCCGCCCAGCATGCCCAGTGGCCTGCAACTACTTTCCAGAACTTACATGGCTGGGGCAAAAAAAAATGAAAGGAAAACAGTTCCATCTGGCCGTGTTGAAAGGGAAGGGACCCTGGGGGGCCCTGGGGGGGGCTGATGGTCAAGGTGCCTGGGGCATGTGCTATGAGAAGTCCTCTCTTCCCTGGGATTCTGAAGGCGAACCAACCCTGTCCTTCACCCTGTGCCCATGGTGGGATGATCTGGAGACTGACTGGGGAACTCCCTCTGGAAGGGCCGCATCAGAGTCATGTGCCAAGCAGAAGGTGGGGGAGACGGGCGGCTTGAGACGAGAACCCAGGGACCAGTCAGACGCCCGCTCTGCATGAAGGAGGAGAGGCAGCTGGCGTCTCCGCAGAGGTGGCGCAGCCATGCCGAGGATGCTGGGGCTTTTCCACCAACCTCATCGTGACCTTCTCCCATCCCCAAGGGGTTCTTGGTGCAGTCACGGTGCAGATCAAAAAAGACCTGCCCCCTACCACACGTCTCACAGAACGCAACACCTTCTCTGCCTCACTCCAGAAAGGTCCACCTCCAGGTCACGGGACGTCTTTCCCATACCAGCTCTGTTCGCCAGATGCACGCGCACACACACGCACCCACTCAGGTGTGGCATTTCATGCTAGGCAGGGGTTCTTGGTGCAGTCACGGTGCAGATCAAAAAAGACCTGCCCCCTACCACACGTCTCACAGAACGCAACACCTTCTCTGCCTCACTCCAGAAAGGTCCACCTCCAGGTCACGGGACGTCTTTCCCATACCAGCTCTGTTCGCCAGATGCACGCGCACACACACGCACCCACTCAGGTGTGGCATTTCATGCTAGGCCTTGGGAAACTCACTCCAGAAAGGTCCACCTCCAGGTCATGGGATGCCTTTCCCATACCAGCTCTGTTCGCCAGACGCACGCACACACACACGCACACACTCAGGTGTGGCATCCTAGGGGGTGTGGCATTTCATGCTAGGCCTTGGGAAAGAGAGAGGTAAGCCATCTCCCATCTTAACTTTAAAATCTGTAAGCTTACCTCTCTCTTTCCCAAGACCTAGCATGAAACGCCACACCTGAGTGTGTGTATACATATATTTACACTGTGTTTTTAAATCCGCCGTTTTATCTGAGGGGCGAGCCACCTTGGGACCCCTAGGGAGAGAAAGGCGGCACATAAAGAGTATCAATAAAGTAAAATAAAATAATTACTTTCCCAGGAAGGGGTCAACCCTTGGACTCACCGACCACCGTGAGGACCTCATTCTCAATATCTGCCTTGATGTATATCCGGCCCCGGCGCTCGGTGTGGTCCGTCCCACAGAGACTCGGTACGTTCATCACGCAGCGTTTGTGGACATTCATCATGCACGCTGAGAGAGGACGAGAGGGAGGAAAAAAGGGCCTTCAGCCCAAAATCCAAAGAAAGCCAGTCGGCTCACCTAACCGCCTCCCTCAACGGGGGAGGATTCCATCCTGGTTTCCTAACGCAGGCAAGCTCTCGGTGTCTCTCCTGGTTTCCTAACGCAGGCAAGCTCTCAGTGTCTCTCTCTTCCACCGGGCACTGGAGGTCAAAGGCCCAGACCCGAACACAGCTTCGTGATTTTCCACAGCACCTCCGCAGCCTCCTTCCTGTCAGCAGCATCAGGGGACAAAGTCCCCCCCACCCCTTCTGTACTCAGTGGGGGCAGATGTGGAGAGGAGGCAGAAGAAGTCCATTGAAAAGCCACCTTCTCCGGCAGGGAGACATTCAAGGGTATCGCTGGCCTCTGTCATCAGCGAAGGGATCGAGAGCGAGGAGGACAACTGGGGGCATCTTGCGCGCTCCCTCACACCAGCCCTTGGAGGGACCCAAGGCCACCTCTTTCTCTCCAGGAGGCCAAGTCCTTCCCCTCGCCAACAGAAATCCCCCCCTTCTTTTCCTCCCTCCTATTCTTTCTCCCTGCCTTTCCTGGGGTGGCCTCATCTCTTCTCTGAAGAGGGACAGTCCTCTCTGTCAGGGGCTTCCCCCGTTTGGAAGCACCTTCCACTTGAAACTGCATCCAGCCCATGTCTGAACGGGAGACCAAGCACCATGAGCGGCCCCCAAGCAGCAGCCTCTGCCGTGGGCATGCTGCTGAACGAGCCGCCGTCTCCCCCACTGTGGTGAGGAGAAGTGTCCTTTTGTTTCAGTTAGGAAAACAATCATTTCCCCCCCCCACTTTTACCTGATTAGCCGACGTAAACACATGCAAAGCACTTGTCTTCCCCCCCCCCCATCTTTTTTATTAATGTCTCAGTGGCCACTTTAAAGCTGTCACAGATTACAGCCTTTACGGCATCATCTAAAGCAACCACAAGGCGACTTTTCCCCCCAGAGGCCACTTGTGATCTTTTAAGGACAAGTGGCCTTATCTCCGTGTGAGCTGCTGTGTCACTTGCAACAGCCTTTTTCAGGCACTGCTGCTCTCTATGGGATTTCCAAGGTTCGTGGAAACGTGGCGCCCTTAGGGGGTCAATGGCCCCACTGACCCAAGCCCAGGAGTTCTGCCACAGGCCCAAAGTGACAAGCGGGTGTAGGGCAAGGGGGGAGCCCCACCCGTGGCGTTTCAGCCCTTCTTAGAGGAGGGCTGCAATGCGCACCGTGGCCGTTAGGGGTCTTCCCAAGCCTGAGTCACGCAGGCACCTCCAACGATTCCTTCTGGAATGCGGCAGCTGGAGCCTTCGGCATCCTTTAACCAACCAACCACACACACACACACACACACCAGGCTGCAATCCTAGCTCTCATTCGGCATAAAGGGGTCTCCATGTCTAGGCATGAGCATTCAAGGGGAAAGCAGAAGACAGAGAAGGGCAGCTGCAGAGAAGGCCGGGAGGGCTGCGACGAAGCAGGGCCAGGCCTTCTGCCACCCCTGGAAGCTGGCGGGGGGGCGGGGGGAAGGGAAGCCGTTGCTCCTGCAAGACGGATGTTGTTCTGCACCCCATGGAAGGGCAGAAGAGGGTTCAGGCCTGCCTTCTCTCTTTGCCGCTCACCCTCTCCTGTGGCGGGAAGCCTGGGCATCTCCTTTTCCCTTGCCCCCAGGGCGGAGAGGGCACTGCACCGGACCTGAACCTGGGGTCCTTTCTGGCTGGGATTCTCCAGGCATCTGCCTCTTCTTTCCCTTCTCCTGATATTTACTCCCCTCGCCCGGGGGGGGCAGTCTGGGAGAAATCTCACGTGCCTCTGCTTTCAAGCTGCAAGACACAAGGACCCCCCCGTGTGTCTTTCTTCTCTGGTGCAATCTATGTGTCAGGCCATTCCCCCCACCCACCCACACCCACAATTTATTTTAATGCAGCAAACAGACTCTACCAAACAGACTCTACCAGAGAAGCAGACCTCTGTGTTTTCTTTATCAAAGGGTGTAGAATAAAAATGCCCCCCTGCCAGAAGAGAGGGGAGAGGCCTCAGGCCGGGCTACATGGGGACCTGGGTGGACTTACTGTCGCATTTCATCCCTTGGTGGATGAGTCCGTACAACAACGAGCCACAGTGGTCGCAGAAGGTCGGGCTGGAATACGTGTGGATTTTGAACTTGTGCTTGCTCCGCGGGTCCTGGAGGCAAAAGGAGAAAAAGCTAAGCACCCCTCCCGGTGAAGCACAGAACAGAGCCGGCGCTTTCCCCCTGACCCCATCAGGGCTCAGACCCACTTCAACGCACCTCGTCAATTTGATTGATTTGGGGTAGAGGAGAGGTAGGTACAGATGTTGCCAGAACTTTGAACTGTGACCAGAAAAGCAAAAAAAGAGCAGGACATCCGCAGAGCCCGTGTTGCAAAGGAGTGGCACGCTTGCCTGTGACCCGCTGGCGTCCCTAGTCTACTCATCCCGCTCACGTTTTCATCCACTTTCCAAAGGCAGCCTGTGTTGAGCATGTTGTGTATGTTCTGTGCCATCACTTACAGCCCACGTTTTCATCCACTTTCCAAAGGCAGCCAGTGCTGAGCATGTTGTGTGTGTGTGTTCTGTGCCATCACTTATAGCCACCCTAAAGGGGCTTTCAAGATAAGTGAGATATTTAAGGAGTGGTTCTACCAGTTCCACACACTCACCCTGATGAGTTTCCGTGGCCAAGCAGGGATTCGAACCCTGTTCTTCAGAGTCCTAGTCTGCCACCCTTTCCGAGCAGGGATTCGAACCCTGTTCTTCAGAGTTCTAGTCTGCCACCCTTTCCATTGCACCACGCTGGGAATCCCTTGAGCATATTACCACGATCCAAGTGGGATGTAACCCATGCATGCATGACGGCGGCCGGATCTGACATTCCCAGAAATGGACGCAACTGCTGTACCAGCCTTAATTGTGCAAACACACTCTTGGCCTCAAGAAACGCCCAAGAACCCAGGCTCGGGGCTGAAACCAGGAGCACACCGGAACTGGGAATCTGTGTCTCCCGAGGAGCCTCATTCCACCCACCACCAGTTAAATCCCTGTCCTCTGATCTGCCTTTTGGCCAACCGGGAGCACCTTTAATTGAGGTGGATTTGGCTTCGACTTCTTCCAGCCTTTTGCTGGGATGAGGCACTGCTTTCAAACTGGTATAGCTTCTTTGGATTTAGATGGAAGGGAGAAAGAGAGTGGGAATCACGTTGTCCCAACCGTGCCGGGCTCCCAAACCCCAGGCAAGAGCCTTCCGGCACCACAAGCTATCCTTCTGGGGAGAGTCTTTGGATCAGGGCACCCCACAGAAAAAGCTCCCTGAGAAAAGGGAGGGGGACCTGCCAAGAGTTTTGAAGAAAGGCCCGGGGGAGGGCTAAGCCCAGTCGAATCAGTTTGGTGGGCTTTATTGCTCATCAAGTTCCACCCGCCAATTAATCAGTGTAACAACTTACTTCGCTCTGTGCTAACAAGCGACGTGAAGGAAAAAGGGACTAATGGAATGTCGCTTAAACCAATCTCGTTAAGTGCCACCTCTTGGGTGTGGGGTTCGGCAAAGTTAATTGCGTCAAAAAACTGAGAGGCTTCACTCTGGAGCAAAACCTCTTTGAAATTCATAAATGCTCCAAAGATGCTCATCTTAATAGCTGGGTTGGCAGCTGGGTAATGAGCAGCCAGAGAAAACGGGGGGTTAACAACAATTAACCTGCCTTCAGCGAACCTTCAGAGAGCAAAGGAGGCCTCATTAAGCCTTATCGCTCGTGGGGAAATCTCTCTTTCTGCTTCCATGGGAGACGGGATCCTTTTCAAGAACACGCACGGAGGCCGGTTCCTCAGTTCCTAGTGAAGATCTGAATCTGGCCGGAAGAGCACGGACCGACCGGGGGTGGCCCCTGGACTAGCCCAAGCCATTCGGGACAAAAAAATTTAAGATGCAAGATCCCTCTTGTATTGCCGTTTTGAATCCAAAGGCTGGGTTGGGTCCAGGACTAAGCCTGAAAGGAGGGGCACCGATTCTGTAGGGTTGGAGTGGCTGGGGGGGGGCGGTTTTGCCCCAACCTGGATGAAGCCACCCTGAGCACTCCCCACCAGAGAGCAGACTTGCCTAGCGTGGAGCTCTTTCCTCCAGTACTTTGGTACCGCTTTCCAGCCTCTTCTGCTTGAGCCAACCTGCTAATGGAAGGACTCACGTTGCAGAGCTCTTTGCAAGCAAAGCTGACGAGGAGGACCTATTTGAAGGTGTGATTTTGCACCTACACAAGACGGAGCCTTCCCTGGAGCAGCCCCTCCCCACATGGAATGGCCTCTCCTCCCCCCCCATGGGGAGTCAGGCAGGCTCCCTCCCGACAGAGCTTCCAAGAGGCAGTCAAGGAGACTTTGTTCTCCGTGACCTTTAGTCTTTCCAGGGGTCAGAAAACTGGAATGATTCCTAATGTCTTATTCTTAAAGAACCTTGAAAGGTCGTTTGCCATTGAAGAGGAACTTTTAATCTGTTTTTACACTAGTTTTGTTCTGCAGCAGGGCAGGTGGATAGAACAAACCCCCCCCCGCCTTCCCTGAGGAGAGAAGAGAGCAGCAACTTAAGCCAGGTGGGCACTAGCAGGTAGGGTCGGCTTTTCCTCCGTCGCGAGGCCCTTTGGCTTTGCTCCGAGCCAGGCCTCCATTCCTTGCCTTTGCACAGACAGGCATCCTCCCCGCGCCCTGCAAGAGGTTGGCTGGCCCTCAGTCACATTCGCCCTGATGTGCCCTGATGCTTCCCATCACAGCCATTCACGTCTGCTGCGGGGCTGAGCGATTTATCTCTCTGGCAGCTCCGAGAGGCTGCAGGAGATGCTCCCAGAAGAGGACAAGTGACACCGACATGGGCCAGACGGCTGGGACTCCCTTGGCCAGCGGGAAGAGTTCTGCAATCAGGCGAGGGCTCGTCCGCTCTGGCAGAAGAGGTGGGCCACCTTCACCTTCGCCTTGGATTTGAGCTGGGGCTTGGCGAGGACCGCCCGGGTGTGTTGCACAATTGCACTAATGAGGATAAAGGTAAAGGTAAAGGTTCCCCTTGACAATTTTTGTCCAGTCGTGTTCGACTCTAGGGCGCGGTGCTCATCCCCGTTTCCAAGCCATAGAGCCAGCGTTTGTCCGAAGACAATCTTCCGTGGTCGCATGGCCGGTGCGACTTAGACACGGAACGCTGTTTACCTCCCCACCGAGGTGGTCCCTATTTATCTACTTGCTTTTGCATGCTTTCGAACCGCTAGGTTGGCGGGAGCTGGGACAAGCGACGGACGCTCACTCCATCGCATGGATTCGATCTTAGGAATGCTGGTCTTCTAACCCTGCAGCGCAGGCTTCTGCGGTTTAGCCCGCAGCGCCACCACGTCCCTAATGAGGATAATAATCACTAAAAAGGCTGAAAAGTCATTAGCAGTGATCTCATGGCAACAGGCAGGGGGATCCACCAACAACTGTTGTGTAACACATTTTGCAGTTATCTCCTGGGTGGAAGCCATACTCAATAAATTCCTCATTCTCATTGATTTTGGCTGTCTTGATCCGATGTGACACCGAGGTGGGAAATTCCCAGTCCTCAAAAGATTCCTTTGCTTCCCAGTGAAAGAAAGAGGACAAGTGGCTCTTCCCCCCCCTCCCATTCTCAAGATTTTTGTAGTTTGCACAAAATGCCTTCTGGAGAGTCTATTTTTAAAAAAAGGTATCCTTTTCCCCTAAGAAACTAAGCAGATGCAGACAGAAAGAGTGGAACCGCAGAAAGACTGATGGCTTCTTCAGAAAGATACAAAGAACCCATTTGGTATTTCACCCTTTCAAGTGTCTTGGAAAAGATGGCCCTAGGCGTTGAGATTGTGCACACGTTCCGTGGCTTGTGCACGTGACATCATTTGCGAAATCTGTGCCATTTCTTGTAAAGCCACAAAGCCAGAAAACACCCTGTCCTCTCGCAGGGTGAGGAGAAAAGCAGGGAATTGTCTCTGGCATACAGGGGGTAAAAAAAGGGGGGAACAGCTCATTAACCCCCCCCCCAAGCTCTCCCAGTTCTACCAAGCCAGGTAATTTAAGGCTAAGCCAAGAAAATGCCAGCATCTGGTGCAGATGTGAATTCCAGGCAAGATCGGAGTCGCGGAATGGTTTCTGTAGCCAAACCGACTGCCTGGCTGAGTTAGTTCACACAGCGCGAACTGTTAATCAGGTGGAAGAAAACACGACGCTGGCACCATTCATGTTACCAGATTTCTCTACTGCGGAGGAAGCAATAAAACAGAATATGATATCCCCTCTGGAAGCATAACAAAACAGCCACATTTCAGAGCAGACAATTTCCCCTAATAATCCATTTCACAACAGAAACTAATATTGAAGCGAACAAGGTATTCAGCCCGAGAAAAAAAATATGTCGGGAACAGAGTTGAAGGTAATATTGCTGTGTGCTTCGGGGGGAGTGCCTCCAAGGGCTGAGGGAAGTTCTCATGGCCTCTGGAGGAAGATGCATTGCAATCCTTCTTGAGTTACAAAATCACTGCCCCCCTTTGCATCTCTGTACACAGAAATGAGCATGGCTTTGTGTGTGTGTGTGTGTGTGTGTGTGTGTGTTTTGCCACTCACTGCCTTCTTTTGTGACCCATGAGTACCTGTGTGTGTGTGTATGTGTGTGTGTTTTGCCAATCACTGCCTTCTTTTGTGACCCATGAGTAACCCCCCCAGAAAGGAGGGCAGAGGGAGGGAGGCCCCTCCTTCCCAGCCCGACCCTTAGCCCCTCCCTTTCATGTTCCAGCCCCACTCTTTGCCCGGGTGGGCTCACTCAACGCCTGCCTAGAATAAGCTTCAGCCGCCACCGTGGTCCTCCCGGCATCCGGCCCGCAGCGCTCCGATCACATTGCACAACCCCCGGAAGGGGGCTCTGGGGTTCCCCCTTCCTCCTGAAACCTCCACTATCCTTCCAAACTACCCTGAAGGTACAGACGAAGCCTCTGGCTGGGGGGAGGGGGGACCCCCATCTGGCTCAAGAGCGCCCTGGCTGAGCAGTTCTGACAGGCGGGGAGAGGAAAACGTTTCTCAAAGGTCTGTGGGCTGGCAGGTGGCAAAATGGAACTGACATCTTGTCCAAGCCGTTTTGCTTCAAAAGCGAGACCGGTCGGGGCGGAACCCACAGGACGGCTGCTGGTGCTTTGGTGCACCGGTTTCAGGAGAGGCACGGAGGCTGGCGGTGGCTGGCGGACACCGATCTGCGTACGTGAGCGCATGGCTGCCCGCAGTTTTTGGAGATGAAATGGTGGTGGCGAGACAGAGCACGTGGCCAGCCTGCTGCTGGGTCTGGGTTTTGGGCACTGCTACCTGCAGGGGGTGGGCAACTCCTGCGCCCCTACACTCCTCACTCCTTGGGGCTCTTTCTCTTTAAAGGGCTCACCCCCACACACACACCTGAACCGAAGGGCCACCCAGCCCATGTCAGACTTCAAGTAAAGAATCGCAGGAAGAGAGACCAGGGACGCTGAGCCAGCCCATCGCCCCCAGGGGGGAAAAACCCCACAGCCACCACATGGCTTCCTCCACTTGGGTGCAATGTGCGGTAATTCTGCTTCAGTTCTAAAAATCAATCCTAATTCAGCACCTGTACGGATGAATTGCACATGCCATCTGATGCAAACCCATGCCCTTCTCTGCCCTCTTCTTCAGCTATGTGTGAAGAGCCACCCTCAAGACAGACCGCGGGGGGGGGCAGGGGGGCTCGGGTTTCGCTCGGTTGCCTTCTATGCAGTTCTTAACTTCCTTCCCTGTTCCTTGAGGATAGTTTTTAATTTTATTTAAAGAGACATTTTCAAGTCCGTATAATTATGCCTTATCTGCCCAGTAAATGAGTACTGCTCTCAGTAGACCTCATATAGATGAAAGTCTCATTTTTCCCCCATAAGAAGTTTGACACAAAGCAGAGCTGACAGATCAAAAAGCTGGGGAATTTGGTATGTCTTTTAAAGGAAAAAGAAGATAATTGAAGGGGATCTCACTTCATCTCTTCTGTACTCTACAAGGCTTAAGGGGGGGGAGAGAGAATGGGCCCTCTGCCCCACCTCGCTGTGGCTGCTGGGTTTGTTTCCCGTTCCTTGAAAATTTAGGCCAAAAGATTGAAGGCAGAGGAGTGACCCGTGTGATGTCACAGAGGGGCGGAGAAGGACTTGGAGTGGGTGGAGGAGGGGTGGCTTCATGACCCCTTGACTGAGAACCCTCAAAGCCTGAAGCAAAGGAAGGTCCCCTTGGGCCTCCCTCTTCATGCCACGAGGGAAGACCAGTGAGAGCATCTCCTGCACCATCAACATGAAGTGCCCTCCCCCATTACCCAGGGCAACAGATGGATGCCAAGTCCCATTCATAGGAAAAAGATTGTCCTAATCTGGACCGATTCCATCTCTCTGATGAGGAGACCCATCTGCCCTAGCACCACCCTTGGGGAACTGTCCATGGTGCTGGGCGAAACAGAAAGGACAGAAATGGCTGCGAGGGTACCAGCCCTCCTGCTACACAGGGGTCTCCCCAATGAAGTTGGCCAAGAGGGTCTCAGAGACCATCCATGTCAGAGGCTAAGCATCTGGAAATTTTACCACCCAGACACATTGCCATCCATTCTAATTCCTGCTATGGATATTCTTCTTCATGAAGTGCGGTGCTCAAAAAAAGGACTCTGTGACTCTGTACTATTATCTTCCCTGATCCGAACACGAGATTTCTGTTGACCCAGCTGGCCACATTAGACTAGCTTTCTTGCTGTAAATCACACGATTGACTCAGCTTTAACTTCTGGTCTATTAAGACCGCTAGAGCTTCTCAACAAATATTACTACATGCACTACACATTCCACAAAGGACATTTTAAGGTTAAGCCTTTAGCAGCCGTGCCTGACATTCCAGTTCTTTTCACCGGGGAGACAGCTTAAAGACCAGCTGCTTCAGAGCAGACCGTGCCTGGGAGGGATGCAAAATGACCCAAGTCTTTTGCAAAGACATATAACCTCACGTCACCCCTTCCACAAGCCCAGCCCTCTCCACGCGGGGAAATTTTCCAGCCCTGAAGCTGCTGTGCCATGATAAATGCATGCTGCCAGGATGATCACTGCATCCAAAGCACAGCCAAAGACACTGTAGTTAAGAGTTGTGACATCATGCTAAAAGGAGGAGGGAATAAAAGAATTAAGGATGATTCACTCTCAGTTCAGCTGCACTGCAAATGTACTACAGATATGGACTGAGAAGAGGTGCCAAAGAGAGGTCACCTGGCCACCCTGAGGCCACTGCAAGCTATGGCTGAGCTGAGGCTCTAACCAGCCAAGACTCTGCCTGAGCTACCTCTGTTCCAGGGCAGGCATGAAGGATGGATGGATGGACGGAGGGATGGACGAACAGACCGACCGACCGACCGACCATCCATCCGTCCATCCGTCCATCCGTCCGTCCATCCATCCATCCATCCATCCATCCATCCATCCATCCATCCATCCATCCATCCATCCATCCATCCATCCATCCATCCGTCCGTCCATCCGTCCATCTGTCCATCCATCACCAGCTCCTCCCTCTTTCCCTCCCTCCCTGTGCAGCTACCTTGAGGGATAGATTCTGGGGTTTTTAAGCTGCTTTGTAGGTTAGTAAAACAGACATTAACACAGTGATCAGATCTGCCTTTCCCCCTCCTGTGTGAGGACGCGCTCTATCCCAAAAGAAGCGTAGGTCCGTTGATCCCCCCCCCCCCCGTGTGAGGATGAGCTCTATCCCAAAAGAAGTGGCCAATGCCCTGTTGCTTAGTGTAAAATTGCACAAGAGTAGGTCCATTAAATCAACAGGGATTGGATGAGTCAACCTCTCCCAATGATTGAAATGGGCCTGCTTTAACTGTGACTTACTTTAGCACAGAAAACTGCAGTTAAAGTAGACCCATCTGATTCAATGGAATTTATGGAGGGGCTAACTCATTAAAGCGCCATTGATTCAATGGTCTTGCTCTAGCGAAATTTGCTATGCTAAGGAAGAAGATATTGACCAATATTTGGATGCACAGACTTGGAGCTTTCAGTTTTCCAAAACACTTGCATACACCCCCCCCCTGCAAAACTGCTCTGATGTCTGAAGTTGGGGCTGGATTGGTGACAGCCCAGTTGCTGTCCAATAGGCACCCCTTAAACAGCAGCTGCTCAAACTGAGGTGTGGTGAACATTTGGAGAACAGACTTTTCTGGCGGGGGGGGCACTTCTAAACTCCCCCTTGCTGATTTTAAAATCTGATCCCAGTTATCCGACAGAGAATCAGTGGAAGAGTTTACTTACATCAGAGGCAGGACCTTTGTCTGCACCAGGGCAGGAGAAGGTAACAAATTCATGGCACCTCTTGTGGACGACGAAGCAACAAACTGCAACAAGAAAGCACGGGTTAACAAAGGACGGACTAGAGGGCGTCTCTAAGCCAGCTCAGGAAAGAGCAGAGGCTGGTCTGTGCAACTCCTGCCAGCCAATGGGCTATTTTGTGGCTTTGTAAAGCATGGCTGCTTTATTTCCTATGCTTTTTTGGATGAAAAAAAAAGAGAGAAAATGGCTTCTTAATTAGGGGCTGCTAACAGGATTAGTCACCCATTTCTTTGGTTTTGCTTTTATGAGCCATATACAGTACTGTGAGGCTGGCCATTTACGAACCAGAGTTTAGAAGTCTATTAAGAGGCAAAAATGTATTTCCTCCAAGCTCAGAACAAGCCTGCAGGGTGATGGTTCAGACATGGAGTCACAGCAGTTCCAAGGAAGGGCAGGAACGCAGGCGAACCCAGCTGAAACCATCGCTGGGCAAAGGGCCTTCCCTAAGCCCTGCGCATCCACCTGCCCAGTCATGCACAAATGTTCAGAAAAGCTGCTCTGGGGGGGGCGTGATTGGGGTGGCTGGCACACCAGCAGCCCCCTTTCCAGGAGGAACCAGCTGTGCTCCTCTACCTCTCCACCTCCCTTCCAAGAAGCTCCTGGAGGCAAAGATGCAGCTGGGGGGGGGTCGGGTGGATCAGCAGGTGGCACAAAACCTTTCCCCATCTCTGCTCAACCCAAAGAGACTTGACTCTAGCAAGGGGGGCCGTCAAGACTCCCATCTTGCACACCAGCAGCCCCCTTTCCGGGAGGAACCAGCTGTGCTTTCGCTCCTCAGAGCTCCTCTACCTTTCCACCTCCCTTCCAAGAAGCTCCTGGAGGCAAAGATGTGGATCAGCAGGCGACACAAAACCTTTCCCCGTCTCTGCTCGAACCGAACAGCCTTGACTCTAGCCAGAGCAGCCCGAGTGGGCCTCTCTGGACCCCTGCGAGATGATGATGGGTGGAGAGGGCTGCTCAGGCCAGGACTGTCCCGCCCCCCAAGCCATGGGCTGCTCCTTCCCCACCACGCTTCCCATTGAAGGGCCAAGGAAGAGAGAGCCATGAGCAGAAAACAGCCAACTCTGCCGGATTGGCACAGAGCCCCGCAGAATTGCAACCCAGCTCCTTCGAGGGAGGTCGCCCGTGGCGCGTGTGTGCCTGAGGGGGAGTCAGTCGGCCGGCCTTGGGGATGGTGGGCCCCTTCAGGGTCCTTCGCCTCCTCCTCCTCCTCCTCCTCCTCTCTGGGTTGTTTCTAAAAGACCAGAACTGGACCAGGCCCGGCGTCAAGTGGAGGGGACACCTCGTCCCTGGCAGGTCTTCACAGGAAGGACCAGCTTCCCCCAAAGGGAACAGGTGGCCACCCTAAGTACAGACCGCTTCCCCTCCAGCACGCGTCCATCTGGCAAAGAGGGTCCACCCCGAGGTCTCAGGCAGTCCCTCCTTCCCTTTGTGACCCGGGGGGGGTAGGGAGAAGAGAAGCCCCCACTGCGCAAAGGAAAGGGTAAAGGAACCAAGACATTGCAAGAGTCCCGCTGGGCTCCTCTTTTGATCTTATGGCCCGTCCTGGGCCTTGGGCTCGAGGTTCTGTTTCAAAGTTTAATTATTAAGTGTGCCATGAAATATACATGCGCCCACTTCGCAGCTCACCGCCTTTCCGCTGCTTCCCGGAGTCTGCAGTTCTCATTTTCCGTGGGAGAAAAATAATTAGGTTCCCAGCCCCAAAAGGCCATACAGCTCCAAAGGCCAGGATGGCCACCCTGTTCGCAACCCAGCATCTGTCTGTCTGTCTGTCTAGCTCTCCTTACCCTCACCCATCAGAGCAGTCTTATGAATACACTTTAAAAAAACGCCTTTCCGCTGCTTCCCGGAGTCTGCAGTTCTCATTTTCCGTGGGAGAAAAATAATTAGGTTCCCAGCCCCAAAAGGCCATACAGCTCCAAAGGCCAGGATGGCCACCCTGTTCGCAACCCAGCATCTGTCTGTCTGTCTGTCTAGCTCTCCTTACCCTCACCCATCAGAGCAGTCTTATGAATACACTTTAAAAAAACACACACCTGTCTGTCTGTCTGTCTGTCTGTCTAGCTCTCCTTCCCCTCACCCATCAGGGCAGTCTTATGAATACACTTTTAAAAAAAACACACACACACATTGACTGAATGCATTATAATATTATTATTATTAATTCCTACGACATTGTTCAAATGACTAAAATTATCCTCCAGCCATTCCCAAACTGCCAGAGGGGGCCACAGGCCGGAACCCGAAGGCTACTCATTGCCGGCACTCTGCAAATGCAAAATGATGCCTGAGGTGTAGGGGCATGAGCTGGGCGCACTGATCCTCTTTGGTGCCACTCATCTGCCTCAACAGCCCCCTTTCTTTATGTTCAGCTCAACACACACACACACACCTCGCTTCCCACACACGCTGCCACTAAGGACAAGAAGGATGATGGGCAGCTCTGTCACTGGCCTAGGAGGGGTGGCTTCTCCATGGAGCCTCCATGGACAGTAGCAGTACATCTGTGGCCAGTAGCTGATGGGGTTAAACTACAGCCGTAGGTATTCATACCTCAGTTTTAGGCAGCCTTCTGACAGGTTTTAACCAAACAATGCTTCTGAGGGCTCTAAACCAGAAGAGGAACCTGACTGGACGCCTCCCCAGATCCGCACGACATGAAGTAAGGTGTAACAAAGCCTGTATATGTTCAGGGTTTTTTTTTTCCTTCTGAGAAGCAGGGAGGAGATGGGATCATGGATTTTGTAATAAGTGAAATGGCTGCGTGGCAGACACGCCAGTGACCCCAGGAATCTGGAAGGTGCCCGGAGGAGAACGGTCAAGATGGCAAAGTCTCCGGGAAGCACGCTCTTCGGAGGAGTAGCTGACGGAGCCGGATCTGCTCGGTCTGGATAATTAATCATTCCTTTGTTTGCTTTATTGATAGGTCGCATTTCTCCCGATAAGGGGACGCGAGAGGCCGCTGGCAACAGCAGAAGCAATGGAATTAAAAACAGAGTAAGTCAAACACTACAAAACAATGCAAAGGAACGTAAGATGGGACGAAGCAGGGGAGAAAAGAGGGGTCTCCTCCAAGGTGGACTGCCCACAGCCCCCTCCCGGCCAGGCCGCTTCCCGTGTTCTGGGCGAGAGGGGTGGAGGGGCCGCTCTCGGTCCTGGCTAAGAGCAGGGAGCCCTTGGGGGCCGCTCAGACCCACAAGCCCCCCCCAGGGCCCCACCTCAGCCACGTTTAATGCCTGGGTTTGCACTGGGACTCCTGGGGGGGGGACAAGGTGACGGCCGTGTTGAGCCTCCTGGGTCCCTCGGAGGCCTCCGATACCTTCAACTGTGGGTCACCCGGAAGACACCAAGACAGCATCTTTGGTCCACCCTCTTGTAGGCCAGGGCCATTTCTACCTGCGGCCCCAATCCCAGGAAGAGGAGGTGGGTAAGCAGGGCCTGTGGCATCTCTCCGGCACGCCTTTCTGCTCCACGTGGTGTTTATTTCTTCTTCTCTGTGAAGCCACCGGGACGAGGTCATTTGGGGATCCGGAATGAGACGTTATCAGCACATCTCAGGTGGAGGAGGCTGCTGTAAAAGCCCCCAGCCGGTGCCTGGAAGCACTAACCGACTCCACGAGGAACAGCAAGCTGAAGGGCAGCGCTGTCAAGATGGAGGCTCGGAGGGAAGCCGGCTTGCCCGCGGAGGGAAACACTGCGTTCATTCTGGACTGGATCAGATCAGGCTCAGAGCGCGACGGCGCTGCTAGAACCAGCTTCGTCGCTGGAGCCTTTGGCAGCATGGCGCCACCCGTGAAAATGCAGGGATGGGAAGATTTGGGAGGAAAGAACGAATGGGAAGCCGGCTGCCTTCAGAAGACAGAAAAGGGGTTCCAGGAGCGTCCCTGGAGAGGCCACGAGGAGAGCAGTCAGCGAACGGGTCCGGACACCACTTTATTTATTTATTTATTTATTGGACTTATATACCGCCCCATAGCGCTACAAGCACTCTCCGGGCGGTTTACAATTTTAATTATAAAGGCTACACATTGCCCCCCCAGCAAGCTGGGTACTCATTTTACCGACCTCGGAAGGATGGAAGGCTGAGTCAACCTTGAGCCGGCTACCTGGGATTTGAACTTGGGGGCTCCACAGCCTCTCTCTGTGGCCTGAATTCCCAGGAATTTTCCAAAGGACTCCCTTGGCCCAGGCTGCCTGCTGCCAGCAAGGCTGTGTTTTTTTTCTCTCTCTCTCTCTCTCTGTGTGTGCGTGTGTGTGTGTGTGTGCACGCACACACACATATCCGTAAGTGGAAACTAAGCATTGCCACTGATTCTGAGATAAAAGAGACCAGCAAAGCCACTGGTTTATACCTACAGAAGGGGGTGCTTTCTAAAAACACAGTCCCAACCTCACATGCCTTTTCACTGGAAGGTCTAAACAAACCAGGACTTGAAATGAACCCAGAGACCATCATTGCCGGGGGGGTGGGGTGGGGGTGGGGAATTGTCCATTATCAGCAGACCCTCAATTCCAACAGAGCAGAAGTTCTGCGGGCGGTTTCAGGGGGAGTCAGGCGCCACCCCAGCCAGGTTGGACATCTCGTTGGACGCCACCTGCCTGCTCAGCCTCCTAAGTTTCCCTGCACGTTGGATGCCACGGCCAACAGCAGCATCGTAGCCCCCCCACGCCCCCCACCCCAAAAGGAATCCGGGGGAATCAGCAAGACTGTAGCCCACTGAACACATCGTTCCCAAGGCGTTTCTGTAATCTATGGGGGGTGGGGGGGGAGAGAAATTTTGCTCCTTGTATTGTGAGCTATTGGTATGTTAAAAAAAACACAACAACCCCAAAACCCTCCGCCTGGGCTTGAGTCCCTTTCTCTGAGCCACTTCCTGTTCGCAAGCGACCCTTGCAAGGCTGCCTGAGGAGGAAAGAACGGAAGAGAAAACTCACCCACCCCCATCCAGAGAGCGGCAGGTGCTTCCTCCCCTTTCCATGTACAGAATGCAAAGATGGGTTTAGG